GTGCACTTATAGTAAAAGTAGTCGCTAACTACCCACCATGATTATCATGGCCTGTGCCAATGTACTAGGGATAATAATAATAATTTTTAAAAAACTTATTTTCCAACACGTACAACAAACCAATCACAAGCCAGATTTCAAAAATGCTTAAATCATATACCATAATATCACAATATACAAGAGACAAAGCAACCAGTCTAACACTGTAAGCCATACATATAGCAAAGATTCAAAACTCTATAAATATTTTGTTACATGGATGACAAGGCCAAGATACCAGAGTAAAGTTGGGAAAAGAGGGGTGGAGTCCAGCTGCCCCCGCTGCCATGTGGCAGGCGCCAAAAACAGCATTCCTGTGTGGGGGAGGACAGAGTCTGGTGACATCTTTGGCAAGGAGAAGACGTGACGACTTGCCTCCGGACGTGTGGATGATCCTGAAAGGAGAGCCTGACATCGGAGCGGTCTACAAGGCGGTGTAGTCCAGGCTGCATGTGTATAGTGTGGAGCGGAATGCTTCACAAGAGGACATCCACGACGCCAAGGATTCTTCTGACGGGGAGGCTGAAGGCAAGTCCCACTGTTGTATTCCTTCTGTTTAGAGCCATAATAAAGCGTTATCAATTTAGCTGCAATCCCTTCGAACTCACATGTGTATATTTGTGGCATACTGAGTAAAGAACACAAACAACGTCTGGGTAAGACGTAACAATATCAATTCAACTTCTCAAACAGTATCTTCCCTTAATTAAATCACAAAATCCATACATGTTGAAAATGTTACATTCGGGCATTCCAATATACACTCATTGACAAAACCAAAGGAAGTTTTATATTTTGATGTCCCCGGCCTTCTGTTTTTTTAAGGAGACCGGAGCAATTTTTTGTTCACACTTGGTTATCTCGTGTATCTTCAATAAAGGTCATTGTGTATCAAATATATTTTAGAGTTATTGTCTGAATCCCGATATACCTGCTAAAAGGTACAACTTTCTTTGTCTCCATCTGAGAGTAGATTACAATTACAATATATTGCCACGTGGAAAATTAGAGAAGACCAATTTCGGGATGAGATAACAGTTTATTTCAGGCAAGAACAAACTATGATAAACAAAAGATAAGCAAAAGAGGGAAGTGTACAGAGTATAGCAAAATATAAACATAAAAAAATAATACTCTGTTAATAAAATAATAAATACTTTGTTACAATATTAAGAAGTTTTATTTTCTTCATTTTTCTGTATCTTCGCCATCTATTTCTAATTTAATTTTCTCATTGCATCAGCAATCTCACTAAAACATCTATTATCGACCATGGCGTCCACTAGTGGAGTAATTCAGTAGAATGAACTGAGGCAGTGCTGGACTCAAGTGCTTAACAAATATTTAATAAAGAAGAGCATTGTAATTTGTCTTTTTTTTTTCATTTATGACGTATTTTAACAAATATAATTTAACAAATACAAAAAATATTTTCTTACAATGAGTTTCTTTTTATTTTAAAACGCTAGCTTTCAAGTGAAAATCGCTCTTCAACGGGCTTAATAAAAAATGTGTATGATACATTAGCGCGCCATCTGTTATAAAAATTTGAAACTATTATAGACGGGAATGATTCTTTTAAAAATTAAACAATCTCTACTGTCCTTAGTGCACGAATAATTTTCACACAGAAAAAATAGTATTTATGAATAATTTGTTAATGTGATACTCTTGTTTAAGGACTGATAAGTCCGAAAACTTGAAAATAAAAGGTTTGCACAAGAAACTTAGCCCTGGAATCTTTATTTATTTTATTATAAAGGTATTTCTTGATTGATATTTCTACTTAAAACCTGCAAAAAACTAAGAGGCACAGTAAACATGATGTGAACATTATTTAACTTTATTAACATCCTATAACACGATATCCCAAACTCAGGGATATTTGGATCAATACATTTCTCTTATAAAATAAATGAAGATTCCAGGGTGCTCGAGAATCTGTATAAGACTAAAAGGCCTTAATAAAGCTTTTTTATGTTGTTGAGCCCAGTGTTTTCTACACTCTCCCATAACTTACAATAAGCTGTATATAAAAAGCATCATAAAAATTGGCCATATACAAGCTTATATAATTAAATTATCTTACATAATTATCCAAAGAAAATTGGTCAAGGAGAAAACAAACAAACATACAAAAGTAAATTTCCTCAAAATTTCCTTCCTTCTCTTTCCCAAGTCAAAAGATAGCTGTTTTATTATGAAACATTAACGTGCCATCTGTTATGAAAATTCGAAGCTATTATAGACGCGTATGATTATTTTTAAAAAATTAAACAATTTCTACTGCTCTTACTGCGATAGAAAAATTAATGGGAGGGCCTGGTTCATCACTGATGAGCCAGGCCCTCCCATTAATTGCTCCATTGCAGTAAAGGCCGTAGAAATTGTTTAATTTTTAAAAAATAATCAAACGTGTTTATAATAGTTTCGAATTTTCATAAAAGATAGCTGTATATATATGTAATATATAAAAATATTATTATGTAATAAAAATATCTTCTGTTGATTTCTGATTATCTTGAGGATAATGCTATGGTAATGCAGTCGTGGTTAAAATCTTGAAAGTATAATAATACAATAGTTTTGATCACTAATTGCTTCAATTGAACTAAATAAATATATATATAAAAACATAATTTGATGAAAGTACTGCCTGGCTTAAGGAGTAAAAATGAAAAAATGGAAAACTTATTTACATAATGTACAAAAGGTTTGAGCCGGACAACGAGAAACAACAACAATCGGTTTTATATAGGGAAAGTCCTGAAATCTGGTGGTAGATATAAACAGAATATTTGATTCTATGAAATATAATTTTTTTTAAAAATAATATTTTTATATAACAAATTTATCTACAAAATTGATTATTTTTTATAAACATGCTGAACGCTTCAATGTTAAATTTAGTAGA